TGAAGGAAGAAATAGGAGTAATTATGCCAGGCAGTCTCGTGGGCTGAGAGCAAAATTGTTTACCTAAGCTTTTTCCTTATAGATTGGAATCTTGTGTTGCAGTCCCATAGATTGATTTAACTGCCTCTGTGACTTCCTTTCATTTTTAAGATTAGGCAGTCCATGACAAAGAGGTTAATTGCAACCCAATAGAGCTAAACTAATGTTTTATTAAGAACGAGTTGGCAGGCCGAGCTTTTAGGAGAACAAATGTTCTCATAATGGCATGAACAACTTACAGTGCAAGCATTCTGCTTGTCATGTGCAACTGTCTGTTCATATTACCCCATATCGACCACGTCTAAGTAACATCAGCGAACTGCTGAGCAATCAGTCGGACGGTTAGATGTCTGTGGAGGCTGGGTGAGGAGGAGAAGTGAGAACTGCTGAGGAGCCTTTTTTTTTTTTTTCTTTTATACTCTGACCTACACAATGCAGCTTTGTGACTCAAAGTTTCACTCGCCTCAACATGGAGGTTGGGGAATGCTGGAATAAACCCATTTCGTTAACGATGGAAGTAATTCTAGAGCGCAAAAGGGTTGGCATAAGAAAATTCAACATGGCATGGTTTACAGTAGTGAAAAATCTGGAAACGCCTGGAGCGTGTGTCAGGGGTAGCACACTCAGCACCAGGGAGAAACAAAGAGCCTCTTTCTTTTTTTTGTGTGTGTGTGTTAATTTTATTTATTTTTTCTTTATTAATTACATTTTATTCACTTTGTACCCCCCCCCCCCCCGTGGTTCCCTCCCTCCTCCTGTCCCAATCCCTCCCTTCCTCCACCCTCTGCATGCATGGCCCTCCCCAAGTCCACTGATAGGGGAGGTCTTCTTTTCCTTCCTTCTGATCCTAGTCAATTGGGTCTCATCAGGAGTGGCTGCATTGTCTTCTTCTGTGGCCTGGTAATGCTGCTTCCCCCTCAGGGGGAGGTAATTAAAGAGCAGGCCAATCAGTTCATGTCAGCACAGGGGTCTTTCCTGAGACTGATACTCCAACCAAGGACCGTGCATGGAGATAACCTAAGACCCTGCACAGATGTAGCCCATGGCAGTTCAGTATCCAAGAGGGTTCCGTTGTAATAGGAAGAGCCTCATTCTTAGAGATAATGCGGAGCAGGCAAGAGTGAGACACCAAGGGGAACAGGCAAGAGGCACCATTGTGGCTTTGGGGGGAAGAGGAGGAGGGAGACTTCAAGATATTCTGCTGGGTGTGGCTTTTGTTTGTTTCAAGTGAAGTATGTGGGTGGGTGGTGGGAGGGGGAGGTATGGAAGTCTTCAGGAAAATGCTAATGTTAGAGCATTAGAACCTAGGACTGCCAGAGGACTCTGGCCAGTGAACTCAGGGAGTTGTGGTTCCCGTGCTTCTACTGATTTACATATGAAAAGAACACACTCGGGCTTGGCTTTTGTTCTCTACCTTCTGGGGCCTGTTGATAATAAAATCTGACTCTCTGACAAGTGCCCTTGACTTTGGTTTCCCCAGGACCTTGGGAGTCTTTGCTGGCTCATCACCCAGCCCCTGCCTTTCCTTCTCAGCCTGTGGTTCCTCAGGTTCTCTGAACGTCAGGAACACTCTCTACCTTTTTCACTCCAGCGCTCTTCCTTAATGTCATGAATTGTATTGACACCTCCTGAAAGCTGAACCTAGCTCCTTTGTTACACTTTAATTTTAATTGCATGTAAAGGCAAATGATATGCTACTCTCTGTTTAACTTTTTCACCCAGTGCTTCAAATTCAACAAAACTGTAATTAGTTCCCTCTACAAGTTATGTTGATCAGATTATACGTAGCTGTACACAGGCACATTGAAACAAGCGTTTTATGAATATTTTAATTAGGAACCACTGCTCCCAGATTGTGACACACAGCACCATACGCCGCCATGTGACAATAGCTTTCATAGTTGTGCTTCTCCTTTCTCCCACGTCTCATTTTCTCTGCATGGTTGTGGGAGATGAGTGAATGCCAACATTCTGAAGGTTTGAGTTCTTCCATGTTTTATTAGCTATAGCCCTCTCATATTTCCCCATTGTTTGGAGATTTTTTTTTTCTTGGCAAACTTTATTGTATAGACAGAATGGAAGTGGTTTTCTCTTTTGACCCCATCCACCTGACCTGACATCACCTTTCTTAGAAACGTGAGGCTTCAGTAAGGAAAACAGATGAGCTGGAAGTTTCTGGAAATAGCCTATGCATCTATAATCCTCCCTCAGTGTAAGATGAAAATCTATCAGATATATATTAGCTTGTTGATGATTGGTGACTGTTACAGTCCAGTAGTCTTATCACTTACACCCAACTCAATAAACGGATCAAGGGCCATCATAATAAGACAAGAATGGGCTTTAGTGTCAAATAGAATTGGATCAGTCAGTTGCTTCTTAACTTACCTTCAGACTTTTGTGCCACTGTGAAGGTATGATCTCTAGTTTACCCAAAGTAAACCATGTCTGTGTTGAGGTTGTTATTGTCATATGATGTGTGGCACTATAGTGGATAGAGGAGGGCACAACCCTCCTATAGGTGGTTCAAATAAGCTCCCAGAAATAAGTAATTCCTCAGTTGAGTCTGAGCTGCCATTAGCCAAGCAGATGGGTGGGAGGATGACCAGCAAGATGAGTGTAATATAGAAAATAATGGGACTTTACAGTATGTAAAGAGAACACTGGAAGATGTAGTTATATTTTGAGTTTGTTCTTCAGTTAATTTTCTGTTGGTTGGGTAAGGGCGGAAAACAGTAAGAAGAGATGGCCAGAGACAGATGTAGTGTGAATCCTTGTGGTCAGAAGTTCAATGACCTCTCTCCCAAGGACCCAGCCTTATCCTGGATGTCCCCAGGTCGAAGTGAAAGGTTGAAACAGGGGAACGTGTGATCTGATTTGTGCTTTAGAAAGAAGCTCACCGGCATGTGGATGTGTTCTCAGGATTTGTCACTTGTTGCAGTGACACGTGCTGTATTGTTTGACATAGGAGGATGGAAGGCATTCATTTTGAAATATATTGATTCATAAATTATAAACTAGAAGGCTTAGAGCCGTGTGTGTGTGAGAATGTGTGTGTGTGTTTTGTGTGTGTGTTGTGTGTGTGAGGATGTGTGTTTGTGTGTATGTGTTTGCGAACACATGCATAAGAAGGACAGTGGGTGTCAAGTTACTGGCTTGGACTGTTAGAAATAGTACCAGATAATTTATCAAGATCAGGGATATACAGTGGATTTAGGGTATATCACAGAGAGTAAAATGAAATGAATTTTGGACATGTTGGGATCCAGTTGTCTGCAGAGTATCTTAGAAGAGTGTGGCCAGAGAGGGATGCTGGTCCAGCATACAGAAGAGAAGTCGAGGTTGGTGACAGAGAATTCAAGCTGATTCTGTGTATTGATGCCCAGTTTCTGGAGAGCTCATGGTGTCTTTGTTCCTCATGTGAGACCCAAACATTGTTCAGAACCTTGGGTTTCAGGTAATGCAGCCCCCAGCCTGACTTTAAATTCTAGTCACTAGGATAAACACCATTAATGAAGAAGACATTAATGAAGAAGACATCCATCAGTGGATGTCAGCTTACTTCACACCCAATCAGCGAACACAGAGAAGGCACTGAATTGCTGGGAGCAGTTCTAAGCCTGAAGGATCAGTCTGAAGGCTAGTAGCAAAGTCTAATGTCACCAGTACTCCGTGATTTCATAGGCATCAGTCTCCCGTGGGCCCAGGGTTCCTTCAGCGTTTATTGAATCATTGGAAATTTCATCACCCTTCCAGGTTCATCCCTTTTGGCCAGCTGCAGTTTTCATTTTTAAGGACTTGTTTTTGTTTGGAGATTATCCTGTCAATGGGTAATACCACAGACATGATCAAGTGGGTTTAAAGAAATCTCTAACAGGGCTGAGCTTTTGCTCTAGCTAGAGAAAGGATAGTTAAGACGGGGCTGGAATATGTCTGGCTTTTCTCTATTTGTTCACATCTCATTGGCGTTTCTTTGAAATTAATGATTTTAATAATGGCAATCCGAGGCCCCAGAAGAAATTTTCTTCCCATTAAATTCACATTCCTTTTCTCCCAAAAGCAACTTCTCTTTCAGAAAATACGATTAGGGTTTTAGATATTCCAAGCATAACTTTCTAGATTTCGCTGCAGTTGTTAACAGGAGAAATTGCGTTTGTTATGCTACAAGGACGGTGGAATGTGTGCCCTGAACCATGATATGTGAGAGCAGTCGGAACTGAGTTTTTTGTGCGTATCTCTGTATACAACACATAGTAGAACTGTTTTTATTAAGGTGGCAGTAGCTGCCGTAACAAACAATAATAATGTAGTAATGTTATGCCTTATTGTTATGTGTTATTTTTTTTTGTTGTTGTTAATAAGGAACAAACTGATTTGACACAGATGAAGCACATTTCTTGTTCACCTAATAATCCATAGCAAGTGGCCTTGGCGTCACCCTTCTCCACAGCAATCCAGTGGCTTGGCCTTCCCCTCAGGCCTTGCCATTTGTGTCCAGCCTGTAGAGGGAGGAGAGGTGTGCTACCAACGTGCTTTGGAAATGGGGATACATATGTGGCATCATGTTTTCGCTTATGTTCCATTAGTGAGATCTAAGGACTAGGAACACACAGATACATGGGGGGCTGAGAAAGGACTTGCCGTTTCCCCTTAGGAAACCCATACGAAGCAAGCAGGACCACACAATTTTTTTTTATACCTATTATCTACCTTGGCTACAGGGACTACATCATAGATGTGAAAAAGGCACACATGTTACAAAATGTCACAAATATTAGAAAGCACATCATTTTCGTCAGACTTCAAATACACATGATGGTGTCTACTTAGGAATAAAACAGACACTTCTCAGTCTTTCTGGATGGCATGCAGCTGCTGTGATCCTTTGCCTGTCTGAGGGAATGCTGGACTTTCTGTTCATTGCATATGAATAACCAAAACTCTCTTTTCATCTTCTGAAGGTTGGACAAAATTTGCCCGGTTGACACGGGCTTTGACAAATAGCCGGAGTGTTTTACAGCAGCTTACACCAATGAATAAAACAGAAACAGTCCACAAACATTCACGACTGGCTGAAGTAAGTATGTGAAGGACTTTGTTTTCAAGGTATCAATATATTTCCCCCTAAACTGTTGAATGTAAACATGATTTCTAAGCGATTTTATTTATTTGTAGAGCTGTTGAAATTTGAAATATTTATTTTTATTTTCTCTGACTTTTGCATGGAAATGTAGTTCATTTTAGGTAATGCTTAGAGAGTGTGGGATTTAATTGAACAAATGGGACAGAGAATTCATTCATTCATGTGTGTGTGTATATGTGTGTGTAAAACATTAATTGAGGCTTTCCGCTGTAGCTGGATTTCCGTGAAGGATGAAAATATGAGTAAGAAACAGGCTGTTACTAAGGAATGAAAAGACAGCACAGGGAACTGATAAAGAACCTAAGATATTGTAGCATTTACCCAGACTTGGGACTCTAGAGTAAGTACAAGTGTGAGTTTATACTTCACTGGTGGAGTGAATTCAGGAAAAACAGAAACATTAGGGCTAGTGAGACGGCTCAGCAGGCAAAGGTGCTTGTTGCTAAGTCTAGCATCCGGAGTTCTAGTTTTGGAACTCATATGGAAGGAGCAGAGAACTGACTTGTGCGGATTTTCTTTGACCTCCACATGTGTGCCATAGCATACACGCCACCCCCAAATGTAACACACACACACACACACACACACACACAGACACACACACCACACACACGGGGTGGGGGGAGACAGAGAGACAGAGAGACACGGAGAGAGAATAATACCAGAATTATGCTCACCTTATAGAGGGAACTCATAATATTTTGAGTTAACTTAACAAGGAGAAAGGCAACACTGAATTCATTTTTTTCTTTGATTTATATTGCTAGAATAAAATTGAACTGAGGCATTTTTTTTCAGCTAGTTACAAGTACAAATTCTGGTTTAGAGAGGGCTGAGAAAGAAAGTATATTCCTTGAATTTAGAGTTCTGGAGTTTTTCTCAGCTTATAACTGATAAAGAGGTCTGTCACAGTATTTCGCCCCTTTTTTTCTAAATAGCTGTTATCATGAAGAAAGCAGAACATTTTGGTATAGCTGTGCTCAAATATACATGAATATACTGTTAAGTAATATTGTTCAAACTGTGTACAAAGGTGATCCACAGCTGTCTCACGGTTTAAAGCAGACAGGTAGAACATCCTTTTCCACAGGGCCCCTTTCTAAGATCTGCTTCCTTCGAAGCTTCCTTCTCTTCTGCCCAAAGTGTCCAGCTTCTTCATACAGCCCAGCCTCAGGGTCCGAGCTCGCTTCCCTGTGTGCTGAGGTTTTCTAAGCATGCTTCCTTCTGGCCTCTTTCTCCACTTTATTCTCAGGTTTTCTTTCCCCTACCACCCTACTTAAGGGAAGGGACCTGGGGGAGGGGTCCCTGAACCCAGAACCACTCAGGGGTTTCCAAATGTGAGCTTTCCCATCATTCACTTTTACTTCAGAGGGGTTTTCACTCTCATTCTTCTTCTCATCTGACTTTTCCTTTTCTTTCGTTTTTTTTTTGACTTTTGATTAAAAAAAAATCAGCCAGCAAATTAAGGTTCAACAAGTCCAACAAGAAAAGACTTTTTATCAGGTCTGAAGTTTGCTGTTTTAGAGAAGGCAGGAGTAGCCAGCTTTCCCACTGAGGTTTTTTCATGGTCATATTGGGGGTGTGTCCTTAGATTTCCAAAAACAGACAACAAAGGAACACCAAGTGGGCACAGGAATGCTGTCTTTTCAATTATATTGCTAGAGACTGTTTCCTCTGGAATTTTCACTTCTCCAAGGCACATAAATTTGATATCCATTCTACCTGATCTAAATTTGGAGCAGACCTTAGCTTGAAAGATTGCGCACTCCCCCCCCCCCCAAAAAAAAAAAAAAAAAAACAGTTAATAAATTGTCCATCCTACGGATGGCCTCCAGCTTATGCTGGGTAGGGAGAAATGCCTGCCCTTATCCGAGACTCTTAGAACCCGTAACTCTTAGATCTTCCGAGGAAAAGAGTGTGACTATCAGTACGAAACTGAGTTCCCATGCCACGGACAGGGCACTCACTGCCTCTTAGAGAAGCATAAAACCCAGCTCAGGCAGAAGACTGGGCTGCCTATGACAAATGTCAAAATCTCAATTTTCTGTGGTCTTATCCTTCCCCATTCCTCTGCTGGCCTCCCTCCCTCTATTCCCCGACCCCCTTCCTCCTCCCTTGGAATTCCTGGAGCACTTTTTGCTAATCCTGCTTGACTAGTTAGATCTGAAATGGAAAAAGAAGGAAAAAAAGAAACTATGTGAGCTATACACTACCATTACCCAGAAAAGGTAAAAATAAAGACTTTTCTGAAAACCCACACAAGGCCAATGTCATCTTCCTTGGGGTTGGGGGCCTAGGTGTGAATACAGCACACTTTACAAAATCTTCTCAGGAGATTCTAATGTGAACCAGATTTAAAACACACTGAATTACCCCCTGAGATTTAACTACAGAAGATGTAGACATGGATGGCAAAAAGAAGCATTTTTCCATCTCCGCCCCACCCCACCCCTGCCAGTGAAATGGGAGATGATGGTGGTTGGAAGGTAAGAGAGAAGCCATAATTACGAGGGCTCTTTATACCTAGCACTCCATCTCAACACGGCGCTTACTTTCCTGCTAGGATAAATTGTTAGTAAGTAATTTAAGACCCCAGGGTAAAATATACCTGGGGCACTGAGAATATAGGTAAATACGTAAAATATCCTTAAAAAAAGCTTTAGTGGCCTCAAGTTAAAAAAAAAAAGTAAGTATAATATACCACTAAAAATACTAGTAGCATTTTTAATATTGAAAATAGCAAGATATTATATGCTTAGTTTTCGGTTATTTAAGCTTGATGTTTGAAAAATTTTAGGATATTCAGCCAGGCTTTAAAAGGTATGTGCTTATGTACTCACATACATGTGTGTGTGCTCGAGCCTGTGTGTACGTGAAAGAGAGAGAGAGATGGAAGATAAGGCATAGAGCTATCTGGTATTACTTTGTTTATTCATGCATTCAAAATTTTGATGCATGTATCAGTTTAGACTCCTCCCTCCTGGAGTCTGTGTTGTTGTTGTTTTCTGGAAGCACTGAATAATAATTGCAAGTTAGGAAGGTCCACTGGAAATGTTAGTTAAGAAAGCTTTATTGCCACACTCTTTGGCACTCATGTTACCCTTAATGGCATTAATGCCCGAGATGGTAATTTTGGGTGTGTGCCCTCAACTTGTTTCACATTTCCCAGATTCCAGCAGGCAATCTAAGTTCTGTGTTCTAGCTGTCACCACTGGCTCTTTTTGGGCCATCTGTTTTTCTCCTTTTCTTACTTTAATTAGACCTAACAGGGTAGATTAAGGTTCATATAAACTTGCGCTGATAATTTTCCATTTGTTAAAGAGGCAGAGAGCTAAGCTTGGTATTTAGCGTTTTGTTTTCTAAAGGAAGCTTGCGCCTGACGTGAAATGCAATGCTCACTTTAAGTCCCGGTTTTATAGAAAATAGGGGAACACAGCATGTAGCTCCCTTCCCCCAACAGTGTCCCGTTAGCCACCAGGGCCCTTGCTGAGCAAATGCAGAACAGTGACATTGCCAAAAGTGAGGCCCTGAGGATCAGGGAGGCCATGAGAAGCAAAAGCATGTTTTCTAAAGTGCTAAATATGTGTGAATAATGATGGTCCGACACCCAGATAGCTATAGGACAGCCAGTGAAAGGCACATGGGTTTGTCAGGCATGCCCCAGTGGCTGGGCATGGGCATTGGAAACACCATGCCGTGGGCCAAGGTCAGCCACTGGAGAGCCAGCCAGATCGGCTTGTGAAGTGTTTGGACTCACACAAGGGGGCCTTTTGAACAAATCTTGGGGCGGTTCTGAAATGGGAGAAGAAGCTATAGAACACGACTGGCCTAAAACCAAGAACCATGTAGCTCGACTCCCAGCAGGTGTTCAGTCACATCTGACTTCAGAGGCATCCTAATCATTTATATATACTGTTTTTGTTTTTTCTTCTAGGTTCTTCAGCTGGGGTCAGACATCCTTCCTCAGTACAAGCAAGAAGCGCCAAAGACGCCACCACACATCATTTTACACTATTGTGCTTTTAAAACTACCTGGGACTGGGTGATTTTAATTCTTACCTTCTACACCGCCATCATGGTCCCTTACAATGTTTCTTTCAAAACCAAGCAGAACAATATAGCCTGGCTGGTGCTGGACAGCGTGGTGGACGTGATTTTTCTGGTTGACATCGTTTTAAATTTTCACACAACTTTTGTGGGGCCGGGTGGAGAGGTCATTTCTGACCCTAAGCTCATAAGGATGAACTATCTGAAAACTTGGTTTGTGATTGATCTGTTGTCCTGTTTACCTTATGACATCATCAATGCCTTCGAGAACGTGGATGAGGTAAGTTGGTTTGGTTTTGTTTCTGGAGTATTAGAGATCAAATGTTTTAAAAACAGCAGAGTAAAAAGAATCGCGCAGATGATAAAATGTTTTTTTCAGCTTCCCCTTTGCTTACAACCAAGATCTTATTAAGCATGTACCACAAATTATAGCTGGTTTCCTTAAATTAACTTTTACCCATGTTTCCCTCCTTGATATTTTGGCTGAAAAAGTGAATTACTGGGAAAATGGCTATGGCTGAAGGTTGTGATTGGAGGAAGACAGGAGGAAGAGAAAGATAGAGGAGGAACAGGAGTAGGGGAAGGTAGTGCAGGAGAAGAAAGGGAGGAGGAGGTTGAGGAAGAACAGCAGGAGGAGGAGGGAGAGGGGGGAGGAGGAACAGTGGTTGAGGAGGACAAAAGTGGCAACATTTAGAGTTGGGTGATGGGTTTAGAGCACAAAAATTCATTTTCTTACAAAGAAGCAGCTTTGAAAACTTCACGCTCTTACAGACCTGTAACTTCTTCACTCAAGTCACATAGGGCTGCAATTTTAAGAGTTAACATATTAGCTGAGACTCCGAGCATGGGGGATATGGAGCCTGAAGTGGCCACCAACAGTCGTCAGGTGGGACTTCCAGTGGAGTTAGGGGGACACCAAACCACTCACACAAAAGACACATCTTCACCAAGGAACAGTGTTTGAACTGTCGAGATTTTGACTTCTGCTTTTGCTTTACGTTCATTATAAATACACTCATGGGTAGAAAGCATATTTGATGACTTTTGACGTCTGACCTCACCGAGGTTCTGTTGAACGTTGTTTGTGAAAATAGGAATATTTAGAATGTGTCATATCTTCAAAGATTCCTTCACTCACCGTTTCTTCTAACTTAGGTGTGGGTCACTTAGAACTTTCTACACTAAGCTGGGAGGGTGCAATCCTTAAGTCAGGCAGCAGGAAGCCTGTGTTATTAAAATGTTTTAACAATGATTATGTTACCATGTTGCTTTCCCGGAAGTTCTACACTGTCCTCCTTACAGAACTCAGGTGGAAAGTTCATTGCACTGCTGTGTGTGTTAGGTGAAGACTGGACCTTTTCTGTGTTGGCTTTTCTATAAATTTTCTCTCCTAACCAACTACAGTAATATTGAAATTATTTCCTCCAAAGCAAATGTTGAATTTTTATTGTAATAGAGTATGAATAACCATTACTTTAGAAGCATGGGAAAAATAATGAATGATAACAAATCTTTAACTTTAGATTCTGCATACATCAAGCCATTAAAAATACAGCTATTTCTTTCAGACTTATCTTCTGGAGAGAATTAGAAAGCACTGACTTTGAAAATGACAGTCATGGGATAAAAGATGATAAACAGTATTCCATTTACCACAAGGATTCTTACATGGGCATATTATGATTTAAATTATTTAGAACATAGGCATAATTTTTTTAATAAAACAGTCATATAAGGATTTGAATAAGTTGATCTCACAGAAGTCGGGAATAGATTGGTGTAAGAAGGCCTTGGAGTGTTGGAGGAGGTTTGGGAAGATGTTGAACTAAGACTACAAAATTTCAGCCAGGCAGAAGGCATGAGTTCCAGAGGTCTATTGTGCCAAATGGCGACACAGTGAGGAATATAGTATTTTCCTAAAGAGTGCTGAAAGAGTGGCCTGATACAAGAGAGAGGGAGTGTATTAGTCAAATTTTTGTCATTGTAACAAAATACCCAGACAGATTACTTATGAAGGCAATATTCTGCACATAGTTGTGGAAGTTCAAGAACAAGATTTATCAGCTCCATGTTTTTGATCTCTAATAAGAATTGGTGTGAGCATGTGATCATAGTAGCTGCATCTTACACCAGGAATATGCAGAGAGTTTGCAGGCAGATCCCTGCCTAGGTAATACTATCGCACACATATGTGTGTTGGGACGGCTTTTGTTCTGGTGCTCTCTCTTTCTGGCCTGCATTCTGAATTCTTCTTTGCCACATCTTCCATTAACTTTTTTTTTTTTTTTTGTAGGCGAATTTACTTTTTATTAAATTTCTATCATCTAGTAACAAACATCACTGATGGAGGTGGCTTCAAGCTAATTAACCCTCTGGCTGATCATTAATATGAGTGAATTAGTATTTTTTATATTCTTTATTAATTACAGTTTATTCACTTTGTATCCCCCCCGTGGTTCCCTCCCTCCTCCCATCCCAATCCCTCCCTTCCTCCACCCTCTGCATGCATGCCCCTCCCCAAGTCCACTGATAGGGGAGGTCTTCTTTTCCTTCCTTCTGATCCTAATCAATTAGGTCTCATCAGGAGTGGCTGCATTGTCTTCTTCTGTGGCCTGGTAATGCTGCTTCCCCTTCAGGGGGAGGTAATTAAAGAGCAGGCCAATCAGTTCATGTCAGAGACAGTCCCTTGTTCCTATTACAATGGAACCCACTTGGATACTGAACTGCCATGGGCTACATCTGTGCAGGGGTCTTAGGTTATTTCCATGCATAGTCCTTGGTTAAAGTATCAGTTTCAGGAAAGACCCCTCTGCTCAGATTTTTTGGTTCTGTTGCTCTCCTTGTGGAGTTCCTGTCCTCTCCAGATCTTACTGTTTCCCACTTCTTTCCTAACATTCCCTGCACTCTGCCCAAAGGTTGCTCATAAGTCTCAGCATCTGCATTGATAGTCTGCAGGGCAGAGCCTTTCAGAGGTCCTCTGTGTCAGGCTCCTGACTTGTTCCCTCTTTTCTCCTTCTTCTGATGTCCATCCTCTTTGCCTTTCTAGATAGGAATTGAGCATTTTAGCAAGAGTTCTCCCTCCTGATTAGTTTTTTTAGGTGTACAGATATTAGTAGGTTTATCCTATATTATATGTCTATATGAGTGAGTATATACTGTGTGCATCTTTCTGCTTCTGGGATAGCTCACTCAGGATGATCTTTTGCAGATTCCAGGTCTGCACTGTCTTTTGAACTTTCATCCCTACTATCTATCTGTCATCTTCTATATCCCCTGGACATTCCTCCAAGTCAAATTCTTGCACAGATGACTCTGGCTTGGTGCCTGATCCCTCCAGGACCTGAACAAAGCAGTATGGCCCCAGGCACTGTCACATGTTGCACAGGGGAGAATGAGTAAGTAAAGGCTCCGTGGAGAACAGTTGGCAATACCTTATTTAAAAAAGAGCAAACTCTAGAGGAAACGACTTATGTTGTTTAGGTGATTTATTTGTTTGTTTATTATAATTTGTTTCTGCACTACTGAGGAGCACAATTATCTATCTTTCCTCTGGCGATTCAGCTTTAGGCTTCATCTTTGGCTTCTCATCCTGAAATCTGAGCTTTCAGACTCTTTTCCTACATGTTCAATTGCCATCAACTTATGCTCATAAAGGCACAAAATCCTTTTGTCCTAATAAACACTGAGCGTTTATAGGCTCTTCATAGCTGAGACCTCCAGCATTCCGTGATAGCTTTTCCTTCTTTGACCTTTCTGTCTTTCCTAAGGGTTGCTCATTCTATGTACTTACCAGAAGTTTAATTATAAAATTTCTGCTCCCTGTTTAAATGCCTCCTCACTGTACCAAATGCAAGAGATACTCATCCAACACCATGGACTTAAGCAAATGTCCCTTTACCATCCTGCCCGATTGAAAGTTTGCTTAGCTGCCGTAGTCTTGGCTTGAGGTAATTTTCCTTCAGAAGTTTGGAAGATATGCTACCACTGCATTCTACCTTCTGGTGGTTCCATTTAAGAAACTTGAAACCAGTGTAGTTTCTGATCCTTTACATGTGACGTGTTTTCTCTTTGTAGAGACTTAATATATTATCTCCTTTGTCACAAGGTTTAGAAACTGTCTGACGTGCCTTAGCATAGGGCCTATTCCAGACATTTCTGTAGATATTGATGGAGGGACCTTCTTCAATCTCAAGAAGCATGTTTTCTGATTTGACAACTTCTTTCTATGATGAATCTCCGTCTGTTCTATTTCTTTCCATTTTCTCCCCCCCCGGAAAACTTTTTGATTAAATATGTTGAACACATTCTGTAATTTCCTTGTTTATTTCTAAACTTTCCCAAACCATCGTCTCACTGCTTCAATTTCTGGGAGATACCAGTACTTTCTAACTCTCTCTCTGTCTTTTTTAACTTTTATTAATTACACTTTATTCACTTTGTATCCCCCCATAAACCCCTCCCTCCTTCCCTCCCACTCCCACCTTCCCTTCCCCTTCTTCATGCATGCCCCTCCCCAAGTCCACTGATAGGGGAGGTTCTCCTCTCCTTCCTTCTGATCAGTCTATCAGATCTCTTCAGGAGTGGCTGCATTGTCATCTTTTTTTAAATTTTCCTTTTTTAATTTATTTATTTTTATATTAATCACAGGTTATTTACTTTATATCCCAGCCGTAGCCCCTCCCTCCTTCCCTCCCAACCCCACCCTCCCTCCCTTACCTTCTCCCTGCCCCTTTCCAAGTCCACTAATAAGGGAGGACCTCCTCTCCTTCCATCTGACCCTAGCTTATCAAGTCTCTTCAGGCCTGGCTGCAATGTCCTCTTCTATGGCCTAGCAATGCTGCTCCTCCCTTGTGGGGGTGGGGTGGTCGAAGAGCTCGCCATTTAGTTCATGTCAGGAATAGACCCTGTTCCCATTATTTGAGAACCCATTTGGACAATGAGCTACCATGGGCTATATCCGAGCAGGGGTTCCAGGTTATATCCATACATGGTTCTTGGTTGGAGAAACAGTCTCATGAAAGACCCCTGTGCCCTGATATATTTGGTCCTTGTGGCGCTCTTGTACTTTTGAGGACTTACTAACTCCCCCTTTTTTTCATATGATTCCCTGCACTCTGTCGAAGGTTTGGTTATGAGTCTTAATATCTGCTTTGATACACTGCTAGGTAGAGTCTTTCCAAGGCCCTGTGTTGCAAGCTCCTGTCCTGTTTATAACAGCTTTATTCGTAATAGCTTTATTCTAGAACCCGGAAACAACCCAGATGTTCCTCAGTTGAGGAA